AGCCACATACACCTAAGGTGGCGGGTTCGAATCCAGCCCGGGCCCGCCAAACAACAATGATGGCTGCAACCAAAAAATAGCCAGGCGTTGTGGTGAGCACCTGTAGTCCCAGCTACTTGGGAGGCTGAGGCAGGACACTCGCTTGAGCCCAGGAGTTGGAGGTTGCTGTGAGCAGTGAAGCCACAGCACTCTACCCAGGGGGACAGCTTGAGGTTCTATCTCAAAAAATAAATAAATAAATAAATAAAAATAACCTAATTGTACCCTCACATTAATCTGAAATAAACACACACCCACACACACACACACACACACACACACACGATAATTTGTGTTACCCCGGGAGATCTTTTTAGTGTATTCTACTTGGGGTTTATTGAAATTCTTGTGTGTGTTTCATGATATTTGGGAAGCTTTTGGCCATTATTTTCTTCAAATAGTAAACAAATTATTATAGTAAAGCACACATGACATAAAATTTACCATTTTTTTTTTTTTTGAGACGGAGCCTCAAGCTGTCCCCCTGGGTAGAGTGCCATGGCATCACACTCACAGCAGTCTCCAACTCCTGGGCTCAAGCGAGTCTCCTGCCTCAGCCTCCCAAGTAGCTGGGACCACAGGCACCCGCCGCAACGCCTGGCCATTTTTTGGTTGCAGCCATCATTGTTGTTTGGCGGGCCTGGGCTGGATTCGAACCCACCACCTTAGGTGTATGTGGCTGGCGCTTTAGCCGCTTGAGTCACAGGTGCCAAGCCCACAATCCTTTTCATCTTGTTAAACTCTGTCACCATTAAACACTAATTCCCTATTTCTCCTCCCTGCCCCCCAGCACTGCCCCTGGGAACCATCATTCTACTTTCTGCCTATACAATTTTTCTGTAAGTACGTTTTCCATCTTTCCTGTCTCCTCTTTCTGGAATGCCTGTGAAGTGTGTGTTGGCCGGTGGGACGGCGCCCTACAGATCAATCAAGCTGATTTTCTTCTTTATTGTTTTTGTGTCTCTGCCTTTCAGACTGGAATATCTCCAAGGACCTACCTCCCTGTTCTCTAATTTTTTGTATGTTTGTTCAAATTGGCTGTTGAACCCCTCTGGTGATTTTTTAAATATCAGTTGATCAGTTGCTACACTTCTCAACTCCAGAACTCCTACTGGTCTTGGTTTGTAATCTCTCTCCTTTACTGATATTCTCCATTTGTTGAGACATTGTTCCCTTGGTTTCTCTTAATTCTTTGTCCATAGTTTCCTTTAGCTCTTTGAGTGTATTTAAGGGAGTTAGTTGAAATACTTCATCTAGTAAGTTCAACCTGGGCGTCTCCAAGGACATTTTCTATGAATTGTCTCTCCCCCACCCCATCCCGAATGTGTCATACTTTCTTGCTTCTTTGGCAAGCCTCATAGTTTTCTTCAGAACTGGACATTTTAAATATCATAATGTGATAATTCTCAATCTCAGATTCTTTCCCCGCCTTATAATTTGTTGTTGCTAGTTGTATGACTTAGAGTGTTTTTGATTTAGTAACTTTCCTCAGCTGTGTTTCGTTGTCAGGAGGGGTCATCACTGTTCCATTCACATATTGCCGAGACAGTGATTTGCCAGAGTTTCGGATTTGCAGCTGCCTCTGCCTTGGGCCTCATAGCTCTGCCTCCCTCGCCCTCCCACCTTCACTTCCTGCACTCAGAGCCTGCAGTTCAGCAGTGGGGGAGCACCCAGAGCTTCTCGGGTCCTGCCTAAGCCTGAGTCCCTGGCAGGCACACGTGGGGGCCCTCAAGGCTCTCGGGAATATAGGGGCTCTTTCCAAGGCCTGATTCCCCAAAGTGTCTCCCTCCCCAGCTCTTCACCCAGGCTTTCTGGGGGGTACCGTGTTTACCCAACTGACATCCTTTCCACTAGTGTAGGTGACTGGCTTGTTTGCTTTATCTTATTTACTTTTTTGAGACAGTCTCAAGCTGTCACCCTGGGTGGAGTGCTATGGTGTCAAAGCTTACAGCAACCTCCAACTCAGGCTCAAGAGATCCTCTTGCCTCAGTTATTCTATTTTTAGTAGAGACAGGGTCTCGCCTTTACTCAGGCTGGTCTCGAACTCATGAGCTAAAGCAATCCACCTGCCTCAGCCTCCAGAGGCCACCTGTGGTGAGACCACTATAATCTTCCCTGCTAGGAGTATAGGAGCGAGCCACCGCGCCTGGACAGGCTTATTTACTTTAAATGTTCTGACAAACACCCTCCCAGTGGCTGTTTCTGAGCCTTGAGAGACCTCTGGGTTTGGGGAAATACAGGCAAGCCCTTGGCGTGTGTCCTTCAGGAAACCACCACTACTGTGGCCTTTTCCTTCCCTTGCTCAGTTAGGGCTTTTGGAAAAAATCATTTGCCTTCACCTTTCACTTCCCCAGTGCTTGCTCCCCCTTAACCCAGCACAACACACGTTTGTCCACATGGCATGACCTGGAAATCCCTCATGAGCTGCTAAGAACTCGCCGCCCTACGTCACTGTTCTGCGTGGCTGTGAGCGAGCACACTGCAGGCCCAGCGTCCTCTCTCGCAGCTCCCAGGGGAGGGGCCTTCTGCCTCCCGGGTGTGTGTGGCACACACCTGCCCACTGGGCCGGCTTTCCAGCCCCCACGTTCCCCAGTGCTTATCCTGTGTGGCTCGTGTTCCCTCCTCACCTTCTCCCTCTCCAAGCCAAGTGCTCCACCTGTGGTGCGACCCCTGTAAACTCCCAGGTGAGCCAGACAGGGGACAGGGATTGCTGACTTTGTGGGGTGAATGCCAGCATTGTGCACATCATTGTTCAGAGGGGAAGGGGCCATGTGAGCAGAATGTCCCCAGCCATCTCTCTGTCCAAATGCGCATCCTTGCATGTGGACAGGGGTCACCTGCCCTCCAGCCTTCATGGGGCCTCAGGGCACAGGTGCACCCACTGACACCCTCGCTGCTGCCTCTGGGCACCCCGGCCAGAGTTAGATCCCCCAAAAGTCCTATGTTCAAGTCCTAAGCTCCAGAACCTCAGAATGTGATCTTATTTGGAGATGGGATCTTTAAAGCGGAAATAAAGTTAACATGAGGCCCGCAGTGTGGCCCTGAGGCCATCTAATAACGGCGTCTTTGCCAGAGGAGGAGACCAGGACACAGACATGCAGAGAGGGAGGACTGTGGGACACAGGGAGGGTGCCGTCTACACCCAAGAGAGGCCCACAGGCCACTGCCCTGGGACTTCCTGCCTTCAGGGCTGGGGGAGAATCTTAGAAGTGGTGGCTCTTTAGTGCCCACAGAGCCTGGCTGAGGCCCCCCCATGGTCTCTGAGACCAAGAAGTGTGGGTGGCATCGCTGCCCCAGGTCACAGGGTGCAGGGCAGGTGCGTGGGAGGAAGGAGGAGCAGTGTGCGCCAGGCCTCCTCCCTGCCTCCCTTGCATGGAGCTAAGACATCACCCCCAGGAGAATGCCCTCCTGTCCCTGGTCTGCCCACATTCTCATGGTGCCCTGGGTGTTGCCCACCATCACCGCTGACCTTCCCCTTCCTGCCTGCCCCACCCCAGCCCAGCAGGCGGTGCTCTGGTGGCTGCCTCTTGGGTCTCTCTGTCCCAGCAGCATGCCCCATGCCGCAGTCCCCAGTGGCCGCCTGTGCCCGGGATACCCAATGCATCTCCGAGGGTACCTCTTGGGCCCTGGGCCAGCTGGGGCTACATCCCCCCATCCTCCACTTTCCAGCACAGCTATGGGATCTGTTGCCCAGGACAGCCCCACCCTATGCCTGGAAGGAGCTGCCCTAGGTGGAGCCCAAGGGACTTGACCAGTCAGTGCAATGGGAGCCCCACAGGACCTGGGTGTGGCTGGATGGCAGAGCAAAGCCAGGAGGTAAACAGGGGCTTCTAGGTTCTGCTCGAGAGTCCCCAAGGTCCCCATGGCTGGATGGAAGGAGGGTTTGAGGCCGAGCCCCAGAGCAGACTAGCCTCCCCCACCCTTCCACCCATGAGCATAAGTCAGCACAGAGGGTCAGCGTGGGCAGCACAGCTTTTATTAGATAGTCACCGAGAGTGACTATCTTGGATACAAGAGCAGGGTCAGGGAGAGCTCAGCTCTATGGCCTAGGTGAAAGTGGGTGTGGAGGCCCCAGGGCTCCATGGGCTGAGGACAGGAAAGTGGTGAATGATCCTGTCTGCCCAGACCTGGGCTGGGCTGCTGCAGGTGGGTCTGGGAGGGCAGGGGGTCCAAGGACTGGCAGAGATGGGGGACCTGAGCCCGCTGGCCTTGGGGACATGCCCGTCAGCATCAGCAGCTGGACTTCTGACCCAAGGAGAGGCTGCAGCAAGCCGGGCGGGAGCAGGCTGGGCGGCAGAGGAGGGACACACAGGAGGCTGGGCGGGGGCAGCAGGGCTGGCAGGAGGAGGTGGGGACACAACAGGCAGGTCTGCACACAGGGCGGCAGAGGAGGGACACACAGGAGGAGGGTCTGCAGCAGGAGGAGGAGCAGGGGCTGAGCTTGCAGCAGGAGGGAGCTGGGCAAGGGGCAGCTCCAGCACAGACAGGCACAGAGCAGACAGGCTTGCAGCTCACAGGCACACAGCAGGCCTGCTGGCAGGGGGACAGGGTGCAGCAAGCTGGCTGGCAGCTAGACTGTTGGCAGCATGAAGAGGAATCCCCAGAGCAGACGGGCACACAGCACACGGGCTTGCAGCTCACAGGCTTGCAACAGACAGGCACACAGCAGGCTGGCTGGCAGGGGGATGGGGTGCAGCAAGCTGGCTGGCAGCTAGACTGCTGGCAGCATGAAGAGGAATCCCCAGAGCCGACGGGCTTGCAACACACAGGCTTGCAACAGACGGGCACACAGCAGGCCTGCTGGCAGGGGGATGGGGTGCAGCAAGCTGGCTGGCAGCTAGACTGCTGGCAGCATGAGGGTGTGCAGGAGCTGGTACAGACTGGTTGGCAGGGGCTGGACACACAGCTCACTGGGCTGCAGACCAGGGTCAGGCAGGGGGTTGGGGCACAACAGCTGGGGGTAGAGCAAGTTGGCTGGCAGCTAGACTGTTGACAGCATGAAGAGGAATCCCCAGGGCAGATGGGCACACAGCAGACGGGCTTGCAGCTCACGGGCACACAGCAGGCCTGCTGGCAGGGGGACAAGGTACAGCAAGCTGGCTGGCAGCATGAGGGTGTGCAGGAGCTGGTGCAGACTGGTTGGCAGGAGCTGGACGCACAGCTCACTGGACCGCAGACCAGGGTCAGGCAGGGGCTTGGGGTGCAGCAGCTAGGAGCACAGCAGGGGGGCTCGCAATAGCTCTCTGGACAGTCGTCCACCTGCCAGGGGCCAGAGCAAGTGCTGGAGCAGACGGATGTGGTGGACATGGCCATGCTGGGGTGGGGTGGGAGGTGAGCCAGGAGGGTAAGTGTGGAGGAATGAGAGTGCTTGGTGCTCGGGGCTGAGGGCTTTTATACGCCTGCCTTGTGTGCGTGTCCCACGTGGCTCCCCGGCTGTGCCCTCACTCCTTGTTGTTGTTTAGAATGTGGAGAAGCCTCATTAGAGACGGTTCTGTGTTTAGTTCTAGGTGATATTGTTCAGCTCGTAAAAGTCCTGTGTGTACTTTCCGTCTGCTGACACATCCTCACCTGCCTTTAGCCCCAGAAGGGAACACTGAAGTGGATAGTGTGCGTCTCTGCAGACAGAGTGTCTGAGGGGCCTACACTGGCTGAGTGAGAGTCATCTGCCCTGATCCAGCTGCTCCAGGACCGTTCCCTGCGGTCTGTTTGCCTGGGCTGCTGCAGCTTCCGGACACCAGTCGGGAGCTGCCTAGGTCAAGAGGGCATGAGGATGGGATGTTTTTGCCAGTGACTCCAATCCTCTCCCAGGTGTGGGAAGTCCCTCGAGGCCTTCAGTGCTTGTGGCAAACAGGTAGGGGACAGTGGGATGGCCCGTTCCCTGTTTGGATCACCTGCTCCCTGTGGGCCATGCACCCCCGTCTTCCGTCTGAGCACTCAGGCCCCCAGGGCCCCATGTGTGCCCGCAGCCTCCCATCTACAGTTGCTATTATCCCAAACCCTGCAAACTGGGACTCTGAGCCCGAGCTCCTCGTTTGTGTCCTTGGCAGGAAGCGCCCCAAGTGGGACCCCAGGTCTGTGGGTGCTAATGAACTAGCTGTGAGAGAATAACAGGTTTAGGGTCTGAAGGGCAATCCCCACAAACCTGGGATTCTAGACCAGAAAGAACGTGGTTCACAGGGAAGGTGGGGAGACTGCCGGACAGACAGACAGACCTGGCAGGACTGACCTGGGCACCCGCTCACGGGATGACCGAAAGGTGGACGTGCAGGAGGAAGTCAGGAGGTCTGAAAGGCAACGGGTGGGCAGATGCTACTGGAAGTTGACTGACTCTGCATTCACAACATTACCAGGTGGTGCATCTTCACAACTTCTGGAAGAATCTCAACTACAAGTAGAAATAAAATTCACACTGGCTCGGCACCTGTGGCTCAAGCAGCTAAGGCACCAGCCACATACACCTAAGGTGGCGGGTTCAAATCCAGCCCGGGCCCGCCGAAACAGACAGCTGCAACCAAAAAATAGCTGGGTGTTGTGGTGGGCGCCTGTAGTCCCAGCTACTTGGGAGGCTGAGTCAGGAGACTCACTTGAGCCCGGGAGTTGGAGGTTGCTGTGAGCTGTGATGCCACAGCACTCTACCCAGGGGGACAGCTTGAGGCTCTGTCTCAAAAAAAAAAAAAAAAAAAGAAAGAAAATTCACAAACATATTAACAAAAAAAGGTGAGAGGGATAAATGGAGATGAAGTTTTCTGAGGTCTTGGCATTGCTTGGAAGTTGCGGAAATAGAACACTCGTTAGACGTGACTAACCCAAGGAAGCTGGAGTCCCTGCGGTGGCCCCTAAGGCACAGCCCAAACCACAGGGGAGGGAAAACGAACAGTACAAGTATTTTATTAACCCAAAGTAGGAAGGAAGTGATTTTTAAAAAGAAATATAAAATAATTGGGAAAAATAGAAGTTATATAATCATAGGGTACATTTAAACTCAGTTATAAGTAATTATAATAAATACAAAGTATTCAATATTCTAGTTAGAAAAATAAAGATTATTGGCTGGAATAAAAATGGAAAATCTAACTGTGTTCTGCTTACAAGAGGTAAGAGCCTGAATAAACTGGCTGACAGTGTCAAGATGGGGATGACAACACTGCGGGGACATAACTCAACGCTGGGTGACCGTGAGCACCAGAAAAGTGGGTTTTAGAGCAAGGGTCATTGTGAGAGGTGAAGAAAGACATTTTATAAAGTCGGGAGTCAAACCACCAGGACTGAATTACATAGCCTCAAACATACAAATGAAAAATTAAGAGAGCTTAAAGTAGAAATAGAGAAAGGAACAATCACAGCGGAGGACGATTATGCACCTCTCCCAGTAATTATAGAAATGGAGAGAAAATAACCTGAGAGAGAGAAGAGCTGGTCTAAGTTTGGAGTAAACCACTAACGCCATTTTTTAAAAGTCTGACAAATCTAATTACATAATTTTTTTTAAGTTGAATGAGGTAAAACATTGTAAATCAACTCAAAAGACAATGGCAATATAGGAAATGTATTTGCCACATACATCACAGAGAAAAGGTGAATTCACTTAATATCCAAGAAGCTCCACGGGTTGTTAAGATAAATACAATAAAACGGAAAATGAGCAAAGGATGCAGAAAGACCATCAAAACAAAGTTACAAATGGTTCTCAGACGGGCAGATACGCTCAGCCCCATTTGAAACAAGAGGAACAAGCGTAACAAGCGTGTCACGTCCTTGTTCACACATCGCTTTGGAAAGGGTGAAAACCACTGATGGCCCAGGCAGGGCCAGGCAGGCCGTGGACCGTCCAGCCAACATGCTTCCGGCCTCAGATGGCCCCACCACTATGGCGGGCAGTTTGCTGCTATGAGTCAAAATCGGAAACCTTATACCTTTGAGCCTGAGCCCAAGGCATTGTCCCAGAGATGTCACGGGACAGGCATTAGGCATGTGCAGACAGACGCGTCACAGACGGATGCCGGGCAGCTCAGTCCCCGAATGTGGCCTGTGACATGCATGTAGCCACACTGCGTGCAGCAAGGGTGATGGGGGTGTGTGCACAGCACACAGGGTAGGATTGCAGGGCCGTCTCGGGAAGGGCTCCCTCCTTGCTGCCTGTGGGCTGCCTAGGGGAGGGCTGAGGGTGGCCCCCAGCTGACAGCCAGGGAGGACCCGGACCCCTCAACCTCACAGTCTGAGGAACAGGGTGGCAACCACTGCGTGAGCATGGATGTGGGTCCTCCCCAGTGGAACCTTCAGGGGAGACACGGAGGCAGGCCTGCAGGGAGCCAGCACCACATTGGCCGATTTCGCTCCCAGAGCCCCGATGGCTACAAGTGTGCTCTGCAGCCACTGTGCGCATGTGATTTGTGACCCAGCAGTAGAAAACGAACACACAGGCTGATGTGGCCTTCTCTGAAGCCATAAACAAGACAGATCTTTACATATTCGTGGGAAAGGAACTTCATCTGGTATTAAGCTTAAACAATATGGGGAGAGTATGATACAATCCCTATTTTTAAAGCGTCTGTACATGGAGACGCTGTATCTATGTGTATGCACAGAAGTTGGTGGGCAGATGGACAGACATGGTGGGCACTCTCCACTGATGCCTCCTGTACTTGTGAATTTTCACTCTGACCTTTATTTGTAACCTTAAAGTCAACACTTGTGGTACTCATGGTCACTGTGCCCATTCACAGAGCAGGGAAAGTCCGACTCCAGATGGGCAGCCCCCAAGGCCCCACCGGGAGTTTTGCTTTCCTGCTTTAGCTCCTCCAGGGAACGAAGGTCCTGCATAAGCTCCTCAATGCCACGTTGCCCTTTGTGCCTGTGATGTCGCTGTTTCCAGTGCCCTGAGCACCTGGCGCAGCGCTGAGGTGCTGCCTGGTGCCCTGAGTGCGAGGGGCACACACACGTGAGGTGCATGGCACCAGGCCAGGCCCCACAGCACCAGGGGTGAGGGCGGCTGTGGGAGGAGAGTGGGAGGAAGAGGAAGGGAGGGGGTGGCAGCAGTGGGTGCAGGGAACATGCCCTTCACAGAGGCGTCGAGTGTCTTCTGCATTGGGGTCTGTGGCCTGTGCCAGTTCCCATTAAGGCAGTGGCAGGTTGAGTCCCTGAGTGCAGTGCCTGGGACACGGCTGGGAAGGCTGCAAGCAGAAGGGCTGTTAGGGTACAGTCGCTGCATCTGTCTGAGCCGTGTAGCCCCAGGGAGGTCACTGAATGCTCCCAAATCCAGTCTGTCTATCACATGGTGGTGACAGCATTGCATCTTGGCAAGGGGGTACCACCCTGGAGGGGGTGTTTGCACCATGGGAAACTTGTCCTCCATGCTGGCTTCCAGTAGAGAGAGCCACTAACCTGGGGCTGCCAGGCCAGTAACTGGATGAGGCCCCAGAACACTGGGGACAGCTCAAGGGATGTCCCACCCACCCAACCCCCACAGTCCTGACTGCCCCAGAGCCCAGATGGGACCACACCCACCCCACTGCTGCCCTCAGAGGACCACGTTTGACAGGCTACATCCTGACCAGGGAAGATGTTTATGAGCTGGACAACATCACAGGCAAACAAACATCCCTAATGACAGCCTGGCCCTGGCACTCACCAACAAGGAAGGGGCAGCCCTGAGGCTGGGACAATAGGGTGGGAGGGGTATAAAAGCTCACAGTCCCAAGCACCCCACATACTCACTCACTCACACTCACCCACACACTCACTCACACCTTCCCAGCTCAACCCCAGTATGGCTGCATCCACTGTGTCCGTCTGCTCCAGCAACCTGAGCTATGGCAGCCGGGTCTGCCTGCCTGGTTCCTGTGACTCCTGGAGCGACTCCTGGCAGGTGGACGACTGTCCAGAGAGCTGCTGTGAGCCCCCCTGCTGCACCCCCAGCTGCTGTGCCCCGACCCCCTGCCTGACCCTCGTCTGCAGCCCAGTGAGCTGTGTGTCCAGCTCCTGCCAACCAGTCTGCACCAGCTCCTGCACACCCTCATGCTGCCAGCCGGCTTGCTGTACCTCGTCCCCCTGCCAGCAGGCCTGCTGCGTGCCTGTGAGCTGCAAGCCCGTCTGCTGTGTGCCTGTGTGCTGCAAACCCGTCTGCTCTGAGGCTTCCTCTGTGTGCTGTCAGCAGTCTAGCTGCCAGCCGGCTTGCTGCACCCCATCCCCCTGCCAGCAGGCCTGCTGTGTGCCCGTCTGTTGCAAGCCTGTGTGTTGCAAGCCCGTGTGCTGTGTGCCCGTGAGCTGCAAGCCTGTCTGCTCTGTGCCTGTCTGCACTGGAGTTGCCTCTTGCCCAGCCCCCTCCTGCTGCCAGCCCAGCCCCTGCCCCTCCTCCTGCTGCAGACCCTCCTCCTGTGTGTCCCTCCTCTGCCGCCCTGTGTGCAGACCTGCCTGCTGTGTCCCCACCTCCTCCTGCCAGCCCTGCTGCCCCCGCCCAGCCTCCTGTGTGTCCCTCCTCTGCCGCCCAGCCTGCTCTCGCCCAGCCTGCTGCAGCCTCTCCTTGGGTCAGAAGTCCAGCTGTTGAGGCTGACAGGCTCATCCCCGGCCTGCAGGATCAGGTCCTCCATCCATGGCTGTGCCTAGTCCGGGTTGGGTAGCTGCCCTTACCCAGGGAGGGCCCTCCATGTCTCCACTCTGCTGTCCTGACCTCCTGATCCTCTCTCCAAGTGTCTCTGCTCCAGGTCATGCGGTCTTGACTTGAACCTGTCAGCCCCTCCTTGGCTCCCCAATAAACTTGCTGTGACCACCTGATTCTCTTCTTTGACAATTGTGTGGGTGGGAGAGGGTTTTGAGCAGACATTTGTCTCCTGCCAGGAACATTCTTGGAACGAATGTCCCAGAAATCACAGGGCAGTGTGGTCCTCTCTCCTCTGTGGTCAATAGATATGTCTCTGGGCTGCCCAGAAGGAACACTCCCTGCCCGGCCCTGCCCGGCTTCCTGAGGCTGGTCACCTGGAGGGCCTGGCTGTGGAGTCTCCAGGCCCAACCCTTCCAGCATGACCCACCTGGGCAGCCCCACCCTCCAGAGCAGCCCACAGTTCATCTCGTTTCCCCCCTTCTCTCCGAGACCCCAGTTTCTCATTGCCTGTCACCCAGGGTGTAAAAGGAGTTGTCTCATATTGTCTGTCTTGCTTTCTAGTTAGTTGAGGTGATAGGACCAGTCGGGTCCGCCGTGGCTCAAAGTGAAGTCTCACTCCTCGTGTCTGGGGCTTCTGTGTCCTTCCCTGTCTAATCCCTGCCTTTCCTTTTTACTCAGGATGTTTCCTGATCTTGAACTTGGCCTACCTCTTTCCATTCTGAGAAACACTTCCGCTAAATTCAAACCCAGCTCGAGATATGCCCAGTGCCCCAGGACTGGCCCAGCAGCCAGTGTCCTCCTGCTGGAAAACGTGACAGTGGGGCCTGGGAGGACAGTAGCAGCATCTCCCTCGCTCCTGGGGCTCTGGACTCCCAAGAACCACCCACGCCCCGCATTCCACCCAAGGTCAGCGGTATCCTATCTACACGGACCCTGAGGTAGACATGTGAAGTCCCAATTAGGGACCTCTCTGTGGGCTGAGCCAGACTAAATCTGGGGTCAGGGCTCCAAATGTTGTGGGCAGGGGTGGCCAAGGGAGGTGTCAGACAGGAGCCCGCCATTACTGGTGAGTTCTCCTGTGTGAGTGACGCGGGCATCTGAGAGGGCAGGGAGTGTGTTAAAGGCCCGCAGCTGCCCTGTGTGCGGCTAACGTGTGCTTAGGTGTGGGCCTTGCAAGATGTCCAGGTTAAGCATGTTAAATCAAGACTTGTCTGTGGTCAGGGAACAGGGCCCATGGGAGTCTAAAAACAAGTTGGGTAGCAGTGAGCTGCAGGGATCAGGGTCAGCAGAGTGGGGCCAGGAAGGTTCCTGAGGTGGAGGCCACTCTCAGCTGTGCCTGAGACACCACCAGTCACTCAGAGCACACAGGACCTCTGCATGCGAATGTCTGTCTCTCGGGGCGAAACCTTTGTATTATCAGTAATTAAATTAGAGATTGAAGTAATAGTTTTTATCAGATGAAAGATCAATAAGAAAGTTTCCTTTTTTGTGAAACTAGTATTCTCATGATGAGGTCTTAGGCTAAATTGCTGGTGGCAGTGGGTGACAATGTGGGATGTCTGGGTGGGTGGGTGGTTTCCCCATACATCACTGTCCCCCTAAACAATACATTCTGGTCGCAGAGGGAGGCTCAGTGAGCACACGAGGACCTTGACTGCGAGTGGCCACCCCTCCCACTCACACAGGGGAGCAGCACCCTGTTTTGACAAAGGCTCTTCCTCAGAACTCTGGTTCCCTGAGCTGGCCCCCATCTCTGCTCCTCTGGATTGCAGTCAACGTGCTGCACTGTGGCGCTGAAGATGGAGCTGGTCTGGGACCACAGCTCTGGGGCCGGACCAGCACCAGCTCTGCCCCTCGTGCCTTGAGCACTTGGGCAACTCTGACGCTTTTGCATCAGAATCCTTTGGGAGTTTAAGGATTTGGGAGTTTAAGTCCCTTTGGGACTCAAGTCAGCGCACTTGAGTCGGCACTTTTTCAGTGGCTCCAAGACATCTTTATTCCAAACATAGCCTTTCAAGACTTCTTAAATTACCCTCACATCATCACAGTATCTTTTTGTTCTGGCCATTTCCCTCACATGTGCCCTCTAATGCACTTGCCCTCGGTTGTTTCCAATCCATTTAAATACTTTAAAAAGTGGCCAGATGAGATGGCTCATGCCTGTAATCATAGCACTTTGGAAGGCTGAGGTGGCCGGATTGCTTGAGCTCAGGAGTTCAAGACCAGCCTGAGCAAGAGTGAGACTCTGTCTCTAAAAATAGGTGGGTGTTGGTGGTGGGCACCTGCAGTCCTAGCTACTAAGGAGATTGAGGCAAGAGAATCACTTGAGCCCAAGAGTTTGAGGTTCCTGTGAGCTGTGACACCATGGCACTCTACCAAGAGGGTGGCGAGTTCAAACCTGGCCCCAGCCAAACTGCAACAAAAAAATAGCCAGGCATTGTGGAGGGCGCCTGTAGTCCCAGCTCCTCGGGAGGCTGAGGCAAGAGAATTGCCTAAGTCAGGGGTCCTCAAACTTTTTAAACAGGGGGCCAGTTCACTGTCCCTCAGACAGTTGGAGGGCTAGACTGCAGGCCCAGGGAGAAGTTGGCTGCTAAGCAGGACAGGCAGCGGCAGCAAAAACACCTGGTGGGCTGGATAAATGTCCTAGGCGGGCTGCATGTGGCCCACAGGCCATAGTTTGAGAACGCCTGGCCTAAGCCTAAGAGCTGGAGGTTGCTGTGAGCTGTGTGACGTCATGCCATTCTACTGAAAGCGATAAAGTGAGACTGTCTCTATTTAAAAAAAAAAAAAAAGAAAGAAAGAAAAAATGATCCAAAAAATAAAATAAAGTGACAGAATGAGAGGCTAAGTCTCAAAAATAAATAAATAAATAAATACGTTAAAAAGTAAGTCTTGTTATTCTGACCTTAGAGACCCCCCAGGTGGTCAGGCAGCCATGGGCGATGGCTGTCCTTGAGAGGTGCTTTCTCAGTAAGGTTGCAGCGGCCCCTGTGAAGGGCTTCTGCAGCCTCCTCTGACGCCTGTTCTCAGGCACGTGAGCCTGAGCACTGCTCTCCATGGCCTCCTGGTGCTGTGTGTCGGTTTTCTTAACATGAGCGACTTCATTTTGGTTCTGGCAACGTCCGCAAGTAGAACCCACGGGCATGTGATTTTCGGGGTCAAATCATCTTAATCCCGGGGGAAGCCTTGGTTGGGATGTACTGTCCCTGTCATACGCTGCTCTATGTCACCTGCTCTTATTCTGCTGAGGATTCTTATGTCTGTTCAGGAAGGATGGTGGTCTGTAGTTTTCTTGCAGTATGATGTCTTTGTCTGGTCCTGACAATGCGGCCTCATAAAAGGGCGTGGCGCGTGTTTCTGCTTCTGTTTTCTAGAAGGGATTATACAGAATTGGCTTTTTTTCTTCTTTAAATGCTTGGTAGAGCGCCCCAGCGAGTGCACCTCCTGCGCTGGAAGGTTTCTTCAGCAGACTCAGGACTCCCCTCCCACCTGTTCCTCCTTTAATGCCGCTGCTGTTTGAGCCCATCAGGGAATCACCCGTTTCATCTGAGGGTTTGAACACAGACACGGTGTTGTTGGGAGAATCCCTCATTTCCCTTTTAATTTCTGAGAGTTGTCCAGTAGAACCCCTTGCTGGCTCTGGTGTGGGCAGCTCGTATCTTCACCTCCTCCTCTTGGTCATTCTGGAGGTTTATCAGTTTGACTGATTTCCTCCAAGAGTTCTGCCTCTTGCTGTTCTCAGGGACACTGATTTCTGCCCTTTCCTGCCTTCTGTTTGCAGTGGGTTCTTTCTGGTTTCTTCAGGAGCAGCTCCAAGGTTGGATTCTCTCCCTTTCTCCTCCCTGGGCAGCTCTTGGCCAGTGTAGCTCTGGGGTCTCAGCTGTACCCACAGGGCCTAAGGCCACCTGTTTTCCTGTCCAGGATGAAGGCTGCACATGTGATCTCTGGGTAGGAGCCCATAATTCCAGGACCGTGTGCCCGAGTTGTGTCCATAGGACTCACATGCAACTTGGATGGGAGAGCAGGGAGGCCTCCTGGTGCCACCTGGGGTGGGTGGAAGTTCCCATGCCCCTGAGACCAGGGCACAGGTAAGCTGGCTGGCAGGGTCACCACCAGCAGGAGAGAGTGAGCTCTCTGGCAGAGCCCCAGGCATGGCCCGCTCCCCCACTTTTGCCCCCATCAGACAGGGAAAGCTAGGGGGCACCTGGATCCCTGAAGCCTGTTCTCTGGGGGCCCTTGGGCAGCTGAGTCTCCTTGTCCTGTGCCAGCCCATGTGCTGTCCTCCTAAATGTCCACCTGCCCCAGGGTGACACCTCCCTGGCAACAGACACAGGTCCTCCCCATTTCTCAGAAGTGAAATTAGAAGCTGATTGGAGTGGTGGCTCCAGGACCTGGTGGCTGGTGTCCGAAGCGATGGCGTCCATTTCCAGTCAGGTGTGAGGCACTCAATTCCCACAGCAGCTCCTGAATGCCCAACACCTGACAGATGACGTCCCCAGTTGTCATCCAGTGCCTTGAGGTCAACCTCAGTGTCTGTGGGGACATGGCAGGTCCCAGGGGAGCTGGACATGAAGGCCCAGACGCACCCTACCCCGTGTGTCTGGTTGACTCTTTAGACTAGTGGTTCTCAACCTTCCTAATGCTGCGACCCTTTAATATAGTTCCTCATGTTGTGGTGACCTCCAACCATAAAATTATTTTTGTTGCTACCCTGGGTAAAGTTCCAGGGCAGGGTCCCTGTGCCATCCCCACCCAACCACAGGCACTTACAGGAGTTTTGCTGGGCAGGCCTCACATGAGCTGCCCCACCCCAGGCCTCTAGGGGTCATGGCTCAGGCCTCAGCCAGCCACGCTCTTATACACCTGTGTCCCCAGCTGGGGGTTCTGTTCAGAGACCTCCTGTTGGGGAGGCCTAAAGACACATCCGTCTCTGTGCCCACGATGTGTCCCCTCCTAGCCCTTCCACTGCTGATCTGTTGGTGGCCATTACACCCTCACTGCCAAACTGTAAGCCCCACTTTAAGAAGTGTATTGGAATCCACAAAGGCCAGCCGATCGGGAGCAGAGCTGTTTCTGCGGTGACTATGGTGGGGCCTTGGCCATCATCACCTGCATTTGGCAGAGATGAACAGGCAGGGAAGGGTCTGGGGAGGCTCAGGTGAGGGGCTGGAAGTGGCCCCAGCGGCATGCCAAGGAGTGAATCCTGACCCTTTCTGATTGGGCCTGAGTTGGATATGGGGACAAACATTAGCGTTGCCACCGACACTGACCCAACCCGGACCACTCTGGGCAGCTTGGTGCGGCCTTGGTGCTCGCGGCTGCAGGGCTGGGGCCGGAGTGCTCCTGTCCTGTGTGGCCTGGCCATTGGCCATTTGCAAGACACAGCAGGAGCTGCCCGAAGTGTGTTGTTCTGGGATAGTCCTGACGTCCATCACCTTGGCCCCTCACTTGTTCTTCCGCCCGACAGGACTTTTGCCAGGAGACTCTTCTGTGAACCTTAGAAACCCTTCAAGTGTCCTGAGTCCACCAGAGAGAATGGGCTCTGAGTAAGCCCTGGGCACCCTGGGCCCTGTCCCCACACTTCTGAGAGACACTGCACAGCTCACCCTACTGAGGCAGAGATAGCCGATGGCACGGCCGGCACGTCTGGACTGACTGTCTGTCAGAGCAAGGATGGGGGTGTGGTGAGGGGCCAGGAAGAGGCGTTTTAATTGAACAGTGGGCAGAGGCCACTCTGGGAGTACAGAATTCTGGTTCCCAATTGCCAAGGCCCAGGGGTCCCCACCTTTGGTGGGTGCCTCCCGTGCTAGGGCCCAGCAAGGCAGAGTGGGGCGACTTGCTCCCTAGCCAGGAGCAGCACACGACCCCCTGCCCCTCCTCTGTTCCCTGGTTCCTGGCTCTGGGCCCTGGCTCTCTCCTCTCCACTCTTCTGTGTTTTTCCCTATCCTGCGCTCCAGGGCTGGGCCCTTCCTCTGCCTTCTGTTTGTGAGGCTCTCTCCACTTGCCACCTTCTTGTGGTGTCCACCAGGCTGACATCTGGTCATGCTTCATCCCCTATGGAACCTGAAGGGGCCCCGAGGTGAGAACATGAGCAGGGCCAGGTCGGGTGGGTAGAGCCCCACCGGCCACCCACCACTCCCGTGGTCCCTGCCTGATATACTTCTTAAAAGAAAGGGTGTTGGTCACTGTCCTTGGGGCTTCACCCAGACCACGTCACATGCTGGAAGTAACCCTATGCCCCCCTCCTCCCTAGGGCAGTAGCCCATATTGCTTCAAGGGAGAGCATGAGCTTGACCCCTACAGGAGGGCGCTCCTCGGATTCCTGGGTCATTCCTGGTCTTTCTGAGATCCATAGGGCACTTATCTGCCCTGGTGCCTCCATCTGACCTAAGTGTCACTGTAGCTGACATGGCTGTGTGGGGAAGGGCAGCCCTGGAGCAGGAGGGGAGAAAGGCCACAGGGAATCAGTCATCGCCTCTTTGTGACAGTGGTTGGGCTGGGACCTGGGGAGAGTAAGTTAGAGGACGGAGTACCGTCGTGGACTGACCCAGCACCCCCATGTCAGACTCAGGTGGGGGACCTTGGCAAGACCACTAGCCCGAGGGAGACAGCTTGGGTGGCCGCTAAATTCACACAGGCCGGGCATTTACCCCGAGCCACAGCTCCTGTGAGGGTTGCGCCAGGGAGAGGGTTGCCCCAGGGCTGGCCCAAACCCTCCTTCTAGTCACATACGCCCTCTGCGTGCCCTGTTCCCTCCTTAACATCTGGCCTCAGGGGGTATTGGGGGGGACTCACAAGGAGCTCACGGCACAGGCTGGGAAAAAATTTCTCACACCAGGAGTAGAATGTAAATAAATAAAAGGTTTATTTTATTTCTCCAAGAAAGAAAGAGAAAGAGAGAGAGAGGACAGGGAGGGAGTGGCCATGGCAGGAAGGAAGAGGGATAGTACTGGGCTCCAGAAGAAGCAGCTTTGTGCTTTTTGAACAGTAAATATGTTTCTAAGTTTTTCCTCTGCTTGAGCAGACTGGTGACAGAAGTGGCTGTCAGGTGTCAGGGAAATGGCGTCCCCCCTTGTCCTTGGGGTGAGGCAAGGGGCTTGCCCCCTGCTGTCCGCTTAGGGATCTTCAACTCTGAGAAAGAACCAGTGAGGCCACAGGTGTTTGAATTAAGCAAAACCAGGAGCAGCTGTGGGTGAATTTCTTGTACTTTCTGTGATAGTTTATTTTTCTTTTCTTTTCTTTCTTTTTTTTTAAAGGGTTTCTTTCTTTTTTCTTTTTTTAGTTTTTATTTATTTGTTTATTTTGAGACAAGAGTCTTATTTTGTCACCCTCAGTAGAGTGCTGTGGCATCATAGCTCCCGACAACCTCCAACTCTGGGCTAAAACCATTCTCATGTCTCCCTCTCCCAAGTAGCTGGAACTACAGCCTCCGGCTACAATGCCTGGCTATTTTTAGAGACGGGGTCTCACTCTTCCTTAGGCTGGTCTCAAACCTGTGATCTCAGGACAATCCACTTGCCTTGGCGTCCTAGAGTGCTGGGATTACAGGCGTGAGTGCCCGGCTGGATAGCTTTTTTTTCCTGTTAGCTAGGTTATTGGTAAAGCATCTTTCAGCAAGGCCTGGCCAGCCCACCATCTGTGTTTTTCACCTCTCAGTGTCCAAGAGCTTACCCAGGACCTTTTCCGCCCTCCCTGTGCACCTAGAGAGGGGCCAGGGAGGCACAGCCAGCCTCACGTGGTTTCTGGGCCTGTGCGGGACCCTGTGGCTTCCAACTGCACTGCAGAGCCTCTGCTGGGCATATGAGGTGCAGGGGAGGCCCAGCAGGAATGCCTGCTCACCCCACCTTGTTCCTAGCCACCCCTGTGTGCTGTGGGGCTGGCACTCCTTTCCCTGTCCTGCTGGGCTCATGCTGCGCAGGTGCCTGGCAGGGAAGGTACGTCTACAGCTCAAAGACAGCCATGCAGAGTCCAGCAGGCGTGGAGTGGGGGAAGACGCCGGGTGCAGGCCTAGATGGCCTTCCGGCTTGGTGCCTCGGTTTCCTCACAGTCAGAACAGGAGCGACCATGGCATCAGCCCATAGGGGCTGTTGTGAGAGTATGCAGAACACCGAGACTAGGGGCCGCCACTCCAGTGCCCGGGAATGTTTGCTGGCAGGGAGTCATCTTAGAGGGTGATGTCCTGACCCTCCCTCCTGTGGTCTCTCTGATACAGACCTGCGCCCCCTGGACATCCTGGCAGAGGTCATCCCGCCCACTGGCACCACCAGCGGAATCAGGATGGTGCAGGTTCACGGGGCACGGGGACTCCAGCTCTCGGCAGCAGCCCCCCAGGCCATGAGCTTCCCTGCCTCCAGGATTTTCTTCAGATGTGATCTCTTCCCAGAAGAATTTTCCATCGTTGTAACCTTGAAAGTTCCCAACCTTCCACCCAAGGTAAGTGGTGTTCTTTGCTTTTCATGTTGGAATAACCTGATGTTGCTTTTGAGGTTCCAGGTACCAGCAAGCAGAGGGCCCGGCTGACGCAGGCTGTGGGCAGGCTTTTGTCAAGGGCTCCTGGGGTTTCCTTGGGATCGAAAGCAGCTTGCCTTGCTTCATGGTGATGTCTTTGTCACTGGCGGTGACACCAGCATCTTTTGGGGGCTATATAAAGAAAATTTTATTTATTTATTTTTTGAGACGGAGCCTCAAGCTATCCCCCTGGGTAGAGTGCCATGGCATCACGCTCACAGCAACCTCCAACTCCTGGGCTCAAGCGAGTCTCCT